AAAATTCGAATATTTACATATGCACATTCTTTGACAAATACAGTCAATCCCGGTTAAGTGCCAAAACCAAAGATGCAGATTTTTTGTGCTTTGTAGTACATAAGCGATTGTGGTACTTAAGCGAGTGGTACCAAAAAAAATAATTTCTATGTATTTAAAAAAAAATTACCGTTTTCCTTAAAAAATTAAGAAAAAAACGTGAGATGCAGCAAGACACAGGCAGATAAGAGGGATTGGAGAAGTGATACTTAACCGGGGCTTACTGTATACATAAATCAGAGGAATATTGAATATTTTCTTTAAAAAGTTTCTTGAATTGTAAATCGACAAATATACTATGTTGTCACTTTTATTCTAAAACATTTTAATACTCATATTTGAGGGGTTGTCACTTTTCACTTCTAGAGGGAATATCAGAAATTTGTTCAATTTATGATTTTTAACTTTTGCCATCGTCGTGAAAAGACGCTTGTCGGCAAAAGCATGCTCGGGGGGATGTGAGGGTATCTGTTTTTATGAATGAAGCGAGGTTGCTTGTTAAAAGTACGCCTGCATNATAAGCCAAAAGGCTAACATGCAGCTGTAATATCAAAGCAAGTCTCTGAGCATAATTTTCATTGAATTCTCAGCTCTGTTCACTCTCCACTGTTAAAATTTCTCCTTCCGAGCCAGATTTGGTGAAATTCACTAATAAAATCTTGTTAGGTTTTGACAATTCACACGCTGGTCCGCAATTGAACCTTCTCTATGATATACGTTCTCTGCCTTCTCTATGATATACGTTCTCTGTTACCCGCAGTGAGTGACATAAAGAAATTATTCTCATTTATATGGCAGTACCATGATATGAAAGAAGATGAACTCAACACAGCTGCAAAAAAGTATTCTGTTGATGCATCTGATAAGTTCTCCAATGAATGTATTCATCTCAGACACGTTTATGATGCAAATTTTGAAACTCGTATATGGAGTAAGATTGAATACCATCAGTGCTTGAAAAAAAGGAATATTTTTCCCTAATATTTGCATCGCTTTCAGAATATTTTGCACTTTACCCGTTTCAGTTTCAAATGGTGAACATTTATTTAGTGCTTTAGCAAGGATCAAAAATTTTTATAGATCATGCTTGTGACAGGGCAGGATTTCAGAACTACCTACAAGGTGCCTAGAGGAAGTTGGATTTCCAGGCTATTATCAACGCATTCGCTGCCGCCAAAACTCGAAAAGCTCACTTCTAAGCTCCAAATATTTGAAGACTGGAGGATTTTAAACTGCATGTTCAAAAATTTAATCATTTTAGTCAAAAGATTAAAAAAAAATTTTATTTATTAGACCGATAAATAAATGTTTGAATAAGACGTTTTTGTCTTCTTGTTAACTGTCAAGTCTTGCTTATACATTATTGATTTTCAAAATCATACAAAACAAATTTGTTCCAACCAACAAACAAGGACGTAAATTTAATACAGATATAATGCAACGTTCATATAATACAAGATACGACAACATTAACATCATTGAACCAACATCGTCATACCTACATACGAATTTGTAAAAAAATAGCATTAGTTGTATTACTGTTTATTTATTTTTGCGTTTTTTGTTTAAATCATTATTTACTATACAGATATCTATGCGCAATAAGATACGACTTAAACACAACTATGTATGTAAAACTAACCCAATTTAAATAGGATCCTCCACTTTAAAATTATTGGAGCAATGTCTTGAATCGCAATAGATAACCCAAAGTTTTTTTAAACTTTCATTTTTGGGAAATCTTAAGAAATTTAAGAGGAAAACGTAATGCTGAAAACAGACATATGGTTTCCGTACTACAATGTATACTACAGTAGAACTCATGAAACCATGTACCAGTAAATAAATATAAAACAGGAACATGAAGCCAAGTTGATCATAACAGCAACGAATCTTAAATCAAGCAATTAAAATCAATCTGTGCAAAATTTAAGGCTTTACCACTTCACAAACGCACTGGATCTTATAAAAAAATTTGTGGAAATCAATTTTCATGTTCGTTTTTTATAAACAATGCGCGCCCGCCACGAATTTACAAATTTTATAGCGAAATTGACTTATTTAAATATGTTATCCTTTCAAATGTCATCAGACAATTTGAGTTGCTAACATATGTCGATTAATTTTTTGTGAAATATTAAAACTTGATTTACAATTAAAATATACTGCTTACATAGAAATTATCTGTTTATACCTACCATCAAACATATTGTAACGGATTTCTCGATAAATCGTCTACCTATAACTCACTCTTGAGTTCGATCACTGGATTGTTAAATAAAAGTCCCAATTTAATGGCTATACACTTATCTTTACTTGTAATTCCAACAACCTTACACTAATTGCTCGTTATTCGAGCTTACAACTTCTTGCTGATGTCTCAATTGCTCTTAACACGACAACACTCTAATTAGAATTGTGTTTGCTGCGTAATCCGGCAGCCCTTATATAGTAGATCTTTAACAAAACATCGTTTCTAAAACATTTTGGCAACTATGAATTCGCTAACTAGTTTCTTCCGGCAATCTGTCGTCGATTCGATTTTGTTCTATCATCCGTCTTCGTCACAATATGATTTCAAAGTTGTCGTAACCTTGTATTCTATGAAGGTTGCGTTGGATATGATGAGAGCATAAAACACTACACCGCATTTGACTTGTTCTTCAAAACCATTGAAGTATTAAGCGGAAAGATAGTTAATAAAATTTATAAAGCATTAGAAACATTCCTACAAGGAGGAGGCTCCCACCTTTTTACCTATGGGCCCGGTGTTTCTATCGGTGACCTTGGGCGAACTAAACTATTATATAATTATATTTTACTAGCTTTTCCCGCGGCTTTGTTCGTATTGATTCCCTTAAATAAATATCAAAGATTATTAACAAAGCTAAATAACTAAATACATACCCTACAAGAACAGTGATTGTCATCTGACCAGTAATATGACAGTCACAGCTGAAAAATTTTTGCTATCGCTCAGAACAAAGTTTCTTTAATTTTCTTAAGGGCCTTGTGCAAAAACTGATGTAAACAAATGTAAATGTCTGAGTTTGCATCTCTCTTTAACACATAGGTATTCGGAATTGATTCACTATATATCTATACTGCTCACTCTCATGCCTTTTTCTGAGTCATTGCTTACCATTAATCCATCATAGCTAAAAAACGTATGTAATGTATCTAAATCTATCAGAGTTGAAAAGTGTCTATAATGACTGAAAATCTATCACAAATGAAAATTCCTTTGCGCAGTAGGTAATATATATTTGTATATATGTAATTTTGATTTCTTTAATAACACTTCTTTATATTGTATTTATACATACATATGTATATAAACAACTAAAAACAATACACATAAAATTAAAAAGCTTTACAACGAAAAATTAATTAATAAATTCCAACCCAATCATTTTTCGTTCTGTTGTGTCTCAGCTTAATAATTATTTCTCCATTTCACAAATTCATATGCAAGTCTAAATTAAAAAGAAAATTAATTTATAATGTGCTTTTAGTTAGTTTTTCAACTTTTATGCCTTGCATATACCTTCTTTCACTTATATTATATTTTTAAATATAAAACGGCAAATTTTAATCTGAGCAACGTGCAACTTTTTTGATGTTACGCAAAGAATACCGTTCTTGGAATTTTACTATTTCTCGAAACTGCCTTGGAAATGTGTGCTGTCTCTTTTTGACCTATACAAAATTTGCTTTGGCAAAACCGTAAACATTGACTGTTATTTTACTGTTCATTTCACTGTCAGTGGTAACAGTGCTAAAGAAATCAGATATTTCATTCTTACATATGTAAAGCCATAGTAAGCATTATATGGTAAGTCGTGTCTGTCTCTTTTTAGCAAAAACAGTGACGGTCAGTTGGGAATTAAATTGTACGTCACGACTGATATAAAAAATGTGAGTGTATTGGTGAAACCATCAGCAGTTTCTTATTGGGTAGTATGTACCATATACGAATACCTACTGGCAAAATATTTTTTTTCAATTTCTATATTTGCTTTGCAAACATTAACGATCTACTAAAGGGATTTTTTTCACAATTCATAAATAATATATTATGTTTTAATAAGAAATATCCTATGTCCTTCCTAATACCATAAGACATATACATACGTACAAAGTTTCATTATGACCGGTTACGTTGTTTTGGCGTGAAAGCATACCAAATAAACTTACATTCACATTAATAATATTAAGAAAGATTAGTTTGGATTATATACAATATACCTTCCTACAAGACGGGTAAAAGTTAGCTAACTGATTACCGATAGGTTATCAGTAATGAATGCATTTGTTATCCGATAGGTTACTTTTGTTCTAGCCTCGGGAAAAAAGTTTCTCCTCTTGCACTACACGTCGGTGTGATTATTCGCTCTCTCTCATTGCTTTTGCGCAAATTCTACATATATTTTATTGTTCTAATTGGCCAACTATTTTGGAAAACTATCTGTTACTCTTTCATTGGCTATTTGTTTGGTTAGCTATCTGTTACTGTAAATAGTTTGTTTGGTTATTGTTATGCTTACATACAAGTTACAGAAATCTGGTTCATAGGTTATTTGTTTGGTTAGCCATTGATTACAGAAAACTGGTTGATCTGTTACCTCGTCAGCTTCTATGGGTTATTTGTTTGGTTATTCATTGGTTACCTTTTTTTTATAAATAAAACAATTGAAATTCTCATTTTATTTTTATTTATTTAATTTTTTTTTAATTTGCATGTTTATACATTATCGTTCTATTTTTACAAACTTTTAATAATTATTTTAGTTTAACTTTTAATTAGTAGCATTTATATATGTTTATACATTACAAACTAAATTTTATTTCTTACAATAATTTTTAAAAAATGTTAGTAATATTTTAGATTAGATTTCAAATATTAGCATTTATTCATATATACATCATAAACTAAATTTTCTTTCTTACATTAATTTTTTTGGCTACCATTTATACATATACAACATTATCATAACTTTTTTGGTAAAAACTCATATCTGGTTTATAGATAGTTAATATTGATTGTTAAACTTTTATAGTTTACAATGATAGTAACATTAAATTACTAATTGTTAACATTGGCACATTAGGTACATACATGTAAACTAATTAAACAATAATATTTTTAATTAATTAATTTAGTACTTAATACTAATAGGTGTCTTAAATTTTATAATTTAAAAACCAAAATGATGATATTAAAGTCCGGCTTAAGAACTTTCCATCTCAATTTGCAAATATCTAAAACGAATAAAAAATAATTAAAAATTATTTAATTTATATATTTTTATTGTAGTAAAATATCTAGAATATGTTTTAAAAATAAATGCATGCAAGTGTGTACACAACTAATATAAAAAGTTGAGGTTTACAATATTTACAATGGTACTTAACATAGATACGTTATCTACGATGGTTACCGTTAAAAAACGTCAAAAATTTTACTGAAAATATATAATGAAAGTATATATACATATTCAACATAGAAATATACAACATTGACCAGTTATGAATAAATTATTTATACTTATAAATTTATTATTATAATGCCGACATATTGCCTAAATTATATATAGCATCTGGAATATATAACTTATTTACTCGTATTCAGTAAGCTGTCATTACCTCACACAAGGCCGAAGGACGATAACATAGTTTACGTACAAGCCGTAGAACTTCAGCAAAGCAGAAGCATCCTTCTCAACCGCATCCTTCTCTATGCCCAAAACTTGGAATATTTCAATTCTATACGCAGCAACCAGGACGAAATGCGTTTCGGATTGAAATCGGGCATCTTAAAGTAGACATTTACGAATTCTTGATCCTCACCTCATAGTTGCCATTTACATATTCTTGATCTTCCGAGATGACAGTCCTCTGCGTATAAATAACAGTGTTGCCGTTACCTTCCGCAAAGTGGTGTGCTCCAAAAGACACTGCGCATTCTTAGCCTTCTCGACGCCCCACACTCAATGTTGCGTTAATTGACGACACACCTGCAAAATAAGTGTACTTTAAATAGTCGAAATTTTGAACTTTAAACCCAAATATCTCGAAAACTATAAGTTTCCCGCGGCTATATCTATATATATTCTTGATCTGGAGGATCTAATCTATCCGCCCATACCCATTTTATCCCCGAAAGCGTGGGACGTTATACTAAAGTTTTCCCAAATCATTATACAATTTTATTATTTCTGACAATAACAAAAGAATTGCAAAATGTCAAATAACCAGTTTTACCTTATCGACATCTTTTGTAAATGAACTGAAAGAAATGAAAATAGATTATACCTCAAATACAGGAATCCAAAACCTAGCAATATAATATATTAGAGAACATTGATGTTAAGGATTACGTTATACCCTCTATGACAATGTTACTTTTTCGCGTAGAACGTAGAAGTGAAGGAAAAAACTAAAAGATTTATTAGTGTCCATCAACGATTATAGTTCCTGTAATTGGGGTATTATCTTTCTTTTTATTTTATTTTTCTTCGTTTGCAAAATATATTGGTATAATAGGATTATACAATGCAGAAAACACGGTTACCTCAAAAAATTTTCCACATAATGCCGGCCATTGTTGATGAAAAATGGTAAATCTATATGTGTGTCTTATTCTTTCCCGGTTAGGGGCAATACATGCAATGGATGGAGCAATCTTAAGACCTCCTCAGACCTTAAGACACATAGGGAGTGGACAACGAATTACGTGGCCCCATGCTGCCAACGCACCACTGCGACAGCTGCCTCAACACTTGTGCAATTTGCACCTTGTTCGCGCACTGCGCCGCCACTCAAGTCAAGACCTCCACAGCATAAAAAGCTCACACAGGGAGCATAACTCCCAATCTGGCCAATCCCCCCACATTATTTATCCTGCTCCAATCCTCGTTCGAGAACCACTCAGCAACTCCTGGTTGCTCGCATAGTCCTGTCGGTGTGTCAGACCGTCATACGCTGGAACGTCGCATCAGTCATGTGGAATTCTTGCACTGGCTGGTGTCACTTTCCGTCGTGTTCCGGCCTGCGCTCCACACATGAGAAGAGTGCGTCGTATGTTGCCTCGTGCTGTAGGAGTCTGCCCCCGCATTACCATATAGTGGCGTCGCCAAACAACACCATAGTGGGACAACCGCCCCTTCGGGTTCTGCAGCTGCAACAACCCCCACCTACACGTACCTCCTCAACCCCAGTATCACGACTAGACATCCGAGACAAACCCGACTTCTACAGTTTAACTGCAACGGACTCCAGAAGAAGATCGAGGAGATAGTTGTATTTATGAGCCGGGAACGCGTTTCGATAGCTGTGGTTCAAGAAACCAAGCCAAACAGCCACTTAGATCTTCTAAGTTGTGAAGGTTTCAACGTTATGCGTAAGGATCGCAAGCGAGATAATGGTGGAGGCCCAGCCTTCTTACTGCACAACACCGTGCAATATCGTTGTTGTTGTTATTGTTGTAGTCCGTTCCGGTTACGTAGACCCGATCGGTCTGATAAATAGTATAACCTGGCGACCTATGTTTACCGACTTAATTTCTGTGGACAACTGCACATTTGTTAACTTTAACAAAGTTAACTGGGCCCGCTTTACAGAATTAACTGAGAGCATCTTCACCGCACCACCCATTACGGACGTCATCGTTGGCGAGCGTCAATTTCGCAAAGTGGTCGCTGCTGCTACTGCTTGCTTTATACCGGCTGAAAGAATCGCGGAACTCCGCCCTAATTTCTGTGTAATCCTGTGAACCCCGAAAAAGGGATCTCAATTTGGAGATTCGGCAAATGGTAAATCAGCATAGGCGGACAAAATTGATAGAGCACTTGAAGTCCTGCAACCTATCCACCGAAGGAAACCCCGCCAACAAAGAGGAGTCTTATCGTCCAATAACTCTCTTTTCGCCAGTAGTGAAGACACTTGAGGCCTTGTTACTCCCGACACCTGAGTCTAGCAGGCCATCAGCATGGCTTCCGTAAAGTACACAGCAGGGTAATGGAATCGATGGCATGTGCTCAAAAGTAAACGGCTATCTCTCCGACCTTTCTCGCTTCTTCTCTGCAAGGAGCCTAACACTCTCCCGCACTAAACCCACAGCGATAATTTTTACAAACTGGGCGAAGGAGTACAGACTGGATCTACACATTTCAGTCGATGGCATTAAAATTCCGACGGTCAACAACCCTAAAATTGTAGGTTTTACATTCAATAGCTTATGCTCCTTCACTCCTCATACGACCGCGATAACTGCCAAAGTACAGAGCCGCAACAAAATCCTCAAATCACTTGCCGACAGCTCTTGGGGAAAATACAAATAAACTTTGTTGGCAACTTACAAAGCAATCAGCCGGTCGGTCCTAAAGAGGTCCTTCCTTGATTACGCCATTCACAGTGGAGCCATCAACACCTTCACCGACTCCCTCTCAGTGAATGGCGTACTAGGAGTCAAACCACCACTCATCGCAGACGTAGAGCTCGAGTTGCCACGTGAATCTAGAGTGACCCTTGCGCAACTTCGTTCTGGATACTGTAGCAGGTTAAACTCTTACTTATCCAGAATCGACCTCGACATACCCAATATATGTCCTGCATACAATGAGTTTCCGCACTAACCACCTCTCCGGCACAATATTAGCATTTCTGATGTACCAGGGAGACTTAACAATGCTTATTAGCACCATATTTTGCAAACATTGAATAATATTTATACTTCTATTTCTATTGGAGCAACCCCACAGTTGCGCACCATATGTCCATACCTGCTTAATAATTTCTTTATACAAAAGTAATTTGTTATGAATGGACAGGTTTGATCTTAGCCACTCCATTTTATTGTGAAATCCCTGTCCTATTTCTTCCACTGTTTCTATTTGACCCACTGTTTTTCAAAGGTTTATATATTCTCTTCCTACCAATAAAAAAATAACAGCCTAAATCTCGTGATTAAGTGTCGGTCGAAACATGGTATTAGTCTCATTACTACAATGTTCTTCATATCTGAGATATGTTAGGTATATAAATTAACCTAGTTAACTCAAATGTCTAAATTGGGTATGAGGAAAAAATCATCCAGTGATATGGAAATCATTACTATGAACATTAAAGGCAACATCCACTTTTTAAACGTTTTCAGACGGACGGACAGACAGTCATCCGAATTTCAACTCGTCTCGTCATTCTGATCTTTTATATGCGCCTGATAGATGGTGTTGAGATCAGATTCCAAGATAGCAGAAGTATAGTTTAAACTATGAAGACTATAGACATGTGTATGGTGTGTAGTGTCTAAACATTCATACTGCTATGCTACTCTATACGATACATATCTGAATGAAGATTCATAAAGAATAGCTCGGCTAAATACATTTGTTACTTTTTCGTACATCTATTACTTTCTTCTTACGAATATTACTTAAAACTATTTATTTTGAAATTTGTTACTGTTTCGAAGTACATATTTTAAATAATTCTTCATAAAATTTTCCTAAACTACATAACTATCCTAACGTCTGTCGGGTTCGCTAGTGGTATATATAACTCCATATCTACCTCGATTAGTTTTGGCTGATACAAACAACCGTTAGGTGAACCAAACTATTATACTCTGTAGCAACATGTTGCGCGAGTATAATAAATTAAATTTTATACCATTTCTTATATTGCCAACAATTTCTTCCCCAACCGTATATCACAATTTTAATTAAAACAATTTTTTTGGCAAACGAGAAATTTTATTTTTCTTATTCCGTGTTTTTAATAATATATTAAAGCTACATCTTATAGGTTAGAAGAAGAATCTATTGCTGCTTCCGACACAGTGACTGAGTTTGGTTTATTTATTTGCCGTACGCGTAACAAAACATTGATCAGATCTAAAATATCCGAATCCTTTAAACTAATGCAATTTAATATTGTTTGTACAACTTTTAGGCGCTCAGCATCTTGTTTACAATATTTAAGAATATTTGGAAGTTGTGAAAAAATATTTGTCCGACAAGAAGTATTTATTTTGGATTTTTCACACACATATTCTATAACTGAAGGTAAATTCAGCCTATCACATACGACGGAAGCAAGGTTTTCTCTTATCGCATGATCTAAAAAGTCTTTCGAATGGTTTTCCGAAAGTGCCTCAAGAAGGGTCTCCTTTATTTTAGAATCTTCGCTCATTCCCCTCGATATCATCTTGGCTATTGTGTCATAGCACTTCAACTTAGAGTCTTTGCTACAATCAAAATATTTTTGCAGTACTTCTTCAAAAGAATGCTTTTCGAATACGATTTCAAGTAAGTTGTTGGTAATCCCTAACTCTGAACTACCTTTCGATGTTTTATGATGACCATTGTTCGAAGGAAATTCTGGAACAAATTTTACACTGGTCCCGTTTTCTTCCGTGGAAAGATCCATACCACATACATTGTCATCATCTAACTCTTCGGTCCTAATATCAGTATTTGTCGGTTGACCTGCTGATTTGTTAGATTGTTGGATTGTAAATTTTTCAATTTCTATAATGCTATCTAATTTACTTCTTCGTTTAAGCGAATATTTATTTTCCATATACTTTTCCCCACTTTGTTGTAATTTATCCATATTCAGACATCTAAAACGATTCAATAGATTGAATATTACATTGAGTATAACGTTTTTAATTTGGTTTTTTTTTATCGCAAAAACAAAATAAATATATTTATTTACATCGACCTTACCGTTTAGGCTTGGTTTTGTTTTCATCATTATGTTTTATATATTCCTTCGTAACTGACACCGGTGGGTCATGAAAACTAACCCTCTTCTTTTTACATGCTGGGGATTCAAATGTGATATCTTCGAGGCTTTCCGTACGAATATTTCTCTTCAAAATACTTGTTGAAGGACTAGCGGATGGAGAAGGAAGCCTTTTAGAGAATGTTAAAATATCTTTGTTACTAAGTGGTGTTGCTGTATTCTCGGCGCCAACCATTTCCATATCCGAAACAGTACGATCTATGCTGTCATTTTTACCTACAAATAGTCTGGGCATGGGTGTTTGCGGTGGTTGTACATCGATTTTTCTATTGCGTATCATGTTTATTAATTGTGCACCTCTTCCTGTGAGGTGTGCTGGTGGCTTAGGTCGTAACTTGGGGCTAGTGTTATTATTTGTTAGTTTACGATCAGGTGGTGATAACTATATAAGAAAATATATATAAACTATAATGAAATTAACTGAACGTTGTAGGATTTTGTCAACCTACTAAGAGAGAGTTTTTTGTTAATGTTTTTTTAGGTGAAATTTCCTTAATTGTGTCCGCGCCATAACAAGGATTTGTCAATTCGGTATAATTACCCTCTACGCAGTCCATATGGGGATCTTGCTCTACATCACTAGACTGCGTTTTTGATGTATCTCCGCATACCCTTATTGGAGATTGTGTGTGACACGCTTTGAAATAAAAGATAAATTATATATAAATAAACCGACCATAAAGTTATTACATATTTCGGAATTTTAATTTGTTTTTGATGTGATTGCTGGTCGAGATAACGAAACAAATAAAAAGAAAAAATGTTAATTTTGGTTGCACCGAAGCAATAATACCCTTCACGAATACAAAAGAATACCATACAAGAACTTAATTTTGATCAATCAGTTTGTATGGCAGTCGATATGAACATTTTCTCCGGAGAGTGTAAAGTTGCCTTGAACAATACACAATACAAAATTTCGTGAAGATATATTGTCAAATAAGTTTTCCATACAAGGCAGTTTTTATGGCAGCTATAATATATGCTATAGCGGTTCGATATCGGAGGTTGACAATTGAGCAGCTTCTTGGGGAGAAAACGACGTCTGCAAAAATTAAGGTCGATATCTAAAAAAAAAACTGTGGAACTAGTTTGCGTATATACAGACATATGGACATGGCTAAATCGACTCAGCTCGTCACGCTGATCATTTATAAATGTATAAACTTTATAGGATATATATAGGACAAACTTTATATAATCTGTTCAAGGTTTAATTACAAAGAAGAAGTTTTAAACTACGAAAGCAATCTTAAGAAAATATGTAATTAATAAGTTTAGTATACAAGAACTACCATATACATAAACAATTTCCCCTATACTTACTTGATTCATGATTTATTATATTCGATACTTTTGGATTCACAGCTTTTATTGTCAAAACTTCCACGCCGACTTCGTTGACCTGAAATAATGAAACGTATTATTTACCTATATTACTGGTCAATACACTGATTTCATGACAACCGGATTTAGCACCCCGTAGCTCAAAACTATGTCTGTTCCGACAAATGAGCAGCTGAAGAATGAGCAGGTGAGAAAAGGTTAGGTGCAAAATTTCAGATCGATACCTCAAAAACTGAGGGACTCTATACATATATACAGACAGACAGACAGACGGACCGTTTCCACGACAGCCGGGTCTAAGTAACCGGAACGGACCCGGATTTTTATCCGGCCAAGGACTGTCAACTAAGCTCCATTCCTTGATATTACTACAGGAATGTTTTCAGTCGCTACAACAACAACAACGGACATGGCTAAATCGACTCAGCTCATTATGCTGATCATTAATATATTTTATAGGTATAATTAGCTTTTCCGATATTAACTCCAACTAAGGTGAAAAAAAATATTTGAAATAAAACATAGTGCGATTGGGATATAAAAGGATAAGTTTACATTTACATCAAATTCCTTAAATAAATAAAAAAAATGAAAAGATAAAAATAAAAATCCAAAAACAGGGTTATTTGAAATGTTCACATATATTATGAGAATGGAAAAGGTGTAAACACAAAAGTTGTAGTATTTTTATTTAGGCCGTTATTAATATTACCGGTTAGATAAACCGTTGTTTACCCTAAACAAAATACAAATTTAGATTATATTGTTAAAATTTGCATTATATAATTTTAAATCTTTATTTTAAAATTTAACCTAAAAATAAATAAGCATATTTTGATTGAGTTGTATAATTAGGGATACCGGTATATACCTTGCCACAGCACTAGGTTAATATACAAGTAGTTATTTCGGATATAAAACAAAATGTAGTAATAACGCCAAGGCAATATATAGCTAATAGTATGATTTAATAAGATAACAAACGAGCATTCGGTTACATTAAAACTTAGCCGTTTCTTACTTGTTAAATTAGATTTTAGAGATCATGGATTAAAAATTAAATTTTATTTTGTTAATTCTGATTTGGGATTAAACATTGAAAATAAAAAATAGTTTTGTTTAATTTAATAGTACTTGTTACTTCTTACTTGTTAACAAAATAAAATTTAATTTTTAATCCATGATCTCTAAAATCTAATTTAACAAGTAAGAAACGGCTAAGTTTTAATGTAACCGAACATTTTATACTCTTGCAACTTGCAAGGATCAAAGCCGGCTAAACATCTTCAGGTATGGCAAAATTTTATTTTAAAAATGTTGCGAAAGAATTCAATATTTATTATTCGACTATTTTATACTAAGTTGTATTTTATTTAAGTATATTATAGGTCATGGACTCACTTAGTTTTATTGTTGTAGTTTACTTCGCGTCGGCTAAAATTACAATATATTAAAAACATCTTCAAATGTGATATAAGCTCAACCGGAGAGGCTAAATTTAATATATTGAGATGATGTGCAAAACGTCAACCAGATTATGGCAATTCATTATATCAGGGAAATGAGGTTTATACTAAGGTTTACACCAAATCCTTACATATTCAGCGCTAAATTATTAAATAATTTTTAAAAATACTTGTTCACTTAATTTCATTAAAATATCACACATTTTGAAAAACCAAAAACGTCAAATCAGATGATGGGAATTCATCATATTAGGGATATGAGGTTTTTACCAAGGTTTACATATTCAGCGCTAAATTATTACAAGTAATATAATTTTATAATTTTTAAAAATACTTGTTCACTTAATTTCATTAAAATATCACACATTTTGGGAAAGTTGGAAGTCACTATATTGGGGTCAGATTAACCTTTGATTATTGTTAAGGTATACTCGAGGACATTACAATTTTATAAATGAATAACTCACACACTGATGGACATATTCGGTATAAGGTTTGTAAAAAAAATAGCAAAAATAATTTTATGTGCATATGGAGATAGGGGTAGTATTGACCCAATTTGGTCAACCAGATTAGTTATATGAGGGTAGGGCAAGTTTTCACCCGTTATCCTATATAAAGTCAGTCAGCAGTTTGAAAATCTTTCCATTATGTATATGGTCAAGAGAAATATTGACCCGATTCAATTCATTTTTGACATAATATTATCAGGATAGGGAATTTGTACCAGAAGTTGGCATATGCAAAAGCAATGTCGCATTAGTATCGATCAGGAGTTATTGAATGACGTCAAACGATTGATTTAGCTCCCTGCGACTTTTTTCTATTCCCAAAACTGAAGAAACCAATGAAAGGTAAGCGTTTGATGAGATAAAGTAAGAATCAATTCCCACAACAGCCGGTTCTGCGATACCGGAATTGACCCGGATTTTATCCGGCCAAGGGCTGTTATTTCGGCGATCTAACCCTGTTTAGATCGGTGAGTTTTAGATTAAGTTTCTCGTCTATGGAGCAACGCCTAGCAGCAGGGTTGCTCCGTGTCCTCCTAACCCGTGCTGGCATCGAGTTCAACCCGGGCCCCGAGGAATTTTACTGCTGCGTTTGCGCTAAAAGGCTCCATACAAACTCCACCTCGGTTAGGTGCAATACATGCAATGGATGGAGCCATCTTAAAACCTGTTCAGGCCTTAAGACACCAAGGGAGTGGACCACAAGTTACGTGGCCCCATGCTGTCAACGCAATAATGCGACATCTGCCTCAACGGCTGTGCAACCTGCACCAGGCGATGTCGAGCTCGAAATATTTAATATATACATCCCCCCAGTTACATGTTGCCCAACAGGATATCACCCGAACATAGATGCGCTACTTCGTGGTGAAAACCGTTTGGTGCTAGGCGACTTTAACGCGCAAATCTTTGGCATTCCTGCCTGTCAAACGATCGTAGGGGGATGGAGCTGGCGGAACAGATAGACGATTCGAGATTCTGCACAATGAATGACGAAGCCCCCACCAGAATTATGGGCACCTGTAATAGCTCGCCAGATATTACCATCGCTAGCGGTAGTCTGATAGATAGTATAACCTGGCGACCTATGCTAACTCTCGCATCAGACCATCTGCCCATTTGTTCTTGCTTCGGCAGAACATATACTAAAATTGGAACGATACAGAGAAGATTAGCATGGCCCTGCGCAAGGATGACACGCAAAATCGTGAAGCGTTCCACATTTTTTTTTTTTTTTAGCCTCTGCGAATGGCAGGCACCTTGCCGTGGTGCAGGGGCTTAAGTCGCAAGGCATTCTCGGCATCTCCCAACTGGTGCGAGCGGTGCTTGCACCCTCACACTGGTTGTCAGGAGCCGTATGCGTGCGACAACCAGGAGCTGGGTGTTATGCGACTCCCGTGCCCATTGGGTAATTTGCAGCCAGGAGGTAAATTCGGCTGTATTTTAACGGAGCCTTCCCAACATCGGGCCGCATTGGGAAGTAACGGTGGCCTTACCGCGTCAAGGGGCTCTGGCGCGGCTTACTCTCTGTTCCCCTTAACAAAAGCTGACCTGACGGCAAGAGTCGTACGAACAAGATGAACAACAAAAACCACAACAACAACAAACGGAACTCGGCAACAACAACAGCAGACGACTTTGGACAATGCTAACGACATAAGCAGCGGTGCAGGTAAGGGCGAATCAGGGGCTTAACGTAAGTTCAGCTTCCTGGACGCCCTTTCGCCAGAGGAGCGAGCGCTGTTCGAGGAGCATGCCAGGGATAACGATGATGACATGCCCTTGTGCAGCGGCATTCAGCAGGCGACTTGCACTGCGGCCGCTGCGGAAAAAGAGAACCCCATGGAAACTCTCTCGAGCAGGAGCAACTGCTCGGATGCAGAGGAGTCGCAACGGGCGACCTCCGGTGGGGCTCGCAAACGAAGAAGGAAGAGGGGAGGCAGACTACCCCCCTGCCACCAAAGGGATGTCCGGGAGGACAGGACGATCCCAGAAAAAAGGGTATGAGCGGTGCCAGCCTGAAGTGGTACCTGAGGCACCTCCAGGAGGGAAGAACTCCGGAGGAAGCCGAAAACCTAGCGCGGAACAGGGTGAGAGGTGACAGCACTTCCCCGGCTTCAGGAAACCAAAGGGGTGGTAATACCGCGGCCATTAGGAAGCGCAATGGCAACAATCGAGGCCACGGCCCAGTAAGCGCAACTCAGCCCGCAGGCCGAGGTTGCGAAAGGGCAGCTCCCTCGACCACCCAAGCGGCGAAGCGGACAGCGGACAGCTGACGCCGCAGGAGCCGCCCAACACCAAGCGGCAGAGGAGCAACGTTGTGGAGGGACAGCGCAAGTATGCAGATGCCCTCAAAGGCATTCGTATGGCTGTGCTGCCGCTGAACTACCCGGCGGAGTTGCTGGGGTCAGAGGAGCTCACCGTGCTCCAAGATTTGCTCATGGAGGAGGTATTCAGAGGGTCTGGATACAAAGCCTCCTTCCATTGAGTGTATTTTAAAGGTCGGCTTGTTGGCTGAGGGAGATCGCTCCCAAGCTGGCAGGCTGGAATGGACCCATCCTCTGCGCAAAAAAGAGGGACGAAATTCCGCCTATGCATAGCATGACGGTATTCGTCCCCAGATGCGCAGGCAAGCCATACGAGTTTGCTCTCGGGCTCATCCGCAATCAAAACGATGGCCTCAATACATCGGCCTGGCGGGTGACCAGCAGCAATGCGGAGGATTCAGGGTGGAGGCTCAACCTCTCCATAGATGACGAATCGTTCAAATTCGTCAGGAAGGTGAGCTTCCGCCTGAACTATAGGTTCAGCTCGGTGGTCCTAAGGCCATTCAGGCCTAAAACGATCACCGAGGGCGATGCAGGAGAAAAAAGCAGGTGGATGAGGTTGCGACTCATCCCTGCGCAAGTACGTCGAAGCAGGCGGCAACTGCCGAGACATCGGTTGAGGTCCCTTCCGAGAAGACGGCCGAGCAAGGGGGGCGCTACCCTCCACTCAGGAGCTTCTGGAGGGGCTCACGAACCTGGCGGGAGACATCGCGGAGGACGGTGAGAACGAGGACCAGTTCCTCATGGAGCCGATCCTGTAGTGGGGCCGCGCATAGAAGTTGCCCAGGTAAACCTGCACCACGCGGCGTCAGCCTCGGCGGTTATCGGGAGCAGGTTTACGACGGATGGTCTGGGCATACTACTGATCCAGGAGCCATGGGTCAATAAAGGAGAGGTCAGGGGCCTCAAAATGGAGTCAAATGAGGTAATCTGGGATCTCTCAAGTGAGAGACCTAGAACCTGCATAGTACTTAGGAACGGTATTGATTTATTCTGTATTTCAGAGTTCCTAACACGACGAAGGAGCACACTTCGTCGTGGCAGCGGCCTATTTTCCGGGGGGAGACTCCGACGGCACCCCCAGAGGCAGTTGGCAACCTAGTAGAGTACTGCAGACGGAATAAGCTGCCCCTCATCATGGACTGTGACGCTAATGCCCACCACACCGAATGGGGCAGCACGGACTGCAACACACGGGGTGAGTCTCTTATCGAGTTTATAGCCAGTAAGAATTTAAGTATAGCAAACGTGGGGTGCGAACCCACCTTTATAACTAGTGTCAGAAGGGAGGTGCTTGACATTACTCTCAGTAACGAGTCTGAGATAGGGCTGATCTCACAATGGAGAGTATCATCAGAACCCTCCATGTCGGATCACCGTATCATAAGATTCGTGCTGGGGATGGGGGTCAAACAACTCCCCCCCAAGCGTATCCCTAGGAACACGGACTGGGCCGCTTTTAGGGACTCGCTTGAATCAAATGTTAGCAGTAGGGAGCAGCTGGATAGAAGCGCAACGGCTTCTGGATTGGAGAGCAGACTGTCTGCCCTAAACCAATCCATTATAGAGGCGTATCACTGCAGCTGCCCTTTAAAGACAACCACCAAGAGCAGTAACTGCTCCTGGTGGTCTAGTAAGCTCTCAGTACTAAGAAAAACGGTGCGCAAGCTGTTCAATAAGGCTAAGCGCACCGGAAACTTGGAGGATTACAGATGCAACCTAACTGCTT